AAGTATATATATATATATATATTGAATGATATAAACAGCTTATAAGCATTAAGAACCAGACTATACAGTCTCCAGAGCTGTAGTTTCAGCAATCTTCTTCATTCATTCTATTTCGCTGCTCTTCACCATGCCTAGATCTCGTCAACCTTCTCCTCCTCCTCGGAATCATACTATCACCATCTGGATTCAAATCATCTTCATCGCCACCACCTTGCAGATCCAGGAGATTCCGATCCGATCGTTCATGGCGTCCATAAGGCCGCCGGCTCATCCTCCTCCAAATCCCGGAAGAGCCCCTCGGCTCATCAAGAAACCCGATTAAGCCGCCATTCATCATTCGCAGTAGAAAAAAGGTTGTCAGCCACGATCCACCATCCTCACCAAGCTCAGCCTCACGCGGCGGATCATTACTTCTGTCAATAACGTAATCGCCGATCACGATGGCACCAGGCATTGCCGATCTGATGGCGCTGAGGATATCGCCGTGCTCGCGCTCATTTTCCAAACGCCGCCACGCTCTCTGTCTCGAAGGATCTACATCGCTAGGTCTTGTTGCGGGGTGAACCCTCCTCGCATGTCGCCGAAGCTCCATGTAGTTGCCGGAAAATGAGCACAGCTCCCTGGAGCAGCTCCGAGGTTTAAGATCCAGGTACTGCCTCGTCTCCTTCACAATCATCCAACCCGATACTGTTTCTCGACAAAGAGGACAACTCCAGACGCTGTCACTTTCTGCCATTGATTCAGGTCCGCTGGTAACAATCCTGTTAGGGTTTTCAACATGGATCTGATCGTTCTGGTAATGTTGCTGGGAAGATAGAAAAGAGGTATCTCCTTGGTTTAGTTTTAATTTTTTAAACCGATCGAGGCAGTTTGAATGCCTGTAGCTGGTGTCACAAATGAAGGCTCTGCAACCCTTTTCATGCGACCTGCAGATTAGGAGAACCGCATTATGGGGATGGTCCAAACAGATTGGACAACAAATTTCATCCCATTCCTTCTGCGCGGTAACAATGTCTGAATTGGTGGAGGTACTCCCCTTGATTTCTTCCATCTATAATATGAACAGATATAAGTGGTTCAAAGCAATAAAATTATGGAGTCTCTCTAATTTAATCAAGGTAATAATCCATGAATTGCATATACAAATGTTGAAAGTAAACACGGGAGCATCTACTGGTAAGACATAAAAATAAGTTAATGATATAAAGTTCTTAAAAGATTAATACCACATTGTACCAGAAACAAGAGAATTTTTCATACGGAGTCCCGACGCAGCTCTACGTGCAAACTCTAGTAATATAACTCCATGTATGTTACATCGGGCCCACCTAAAAAAATATCAAAGTGAAACTGCGGAAGTTATTAGTAGAACTGCGGAAGTTATTGGAGTAGAACTGCGGATGTTATTGGAAGGGATATTGGGGGGTTATTCGGATATTAACTTTAATAACGCCGCAATAACGCATTCAATAACTCCTCAATAACCTTCGCATTTCCAGTTCAATAACCACCTGCAATAACCCTCGCAATAATCCCTCAATAACCTCCACGACTCCACTCCAATAACACCTCAAAATAACCCTCAATAACTTCTGCGGTTCCATTTCAATAAACCCTGCAATAACCCTCAAATAACCTCTGTGTTTTCATTTCAATAATCATCGCAATAACTCCCCAATAACCTTCGCGGCTCCACTTCAATAACCCCTCACAATAATCCCTGTAATAACCCCCTTTACGTTTTCATTTCAATAACCTCCACTACTTAGAACTGATAGCACAATAATAAAAAAAAACCTCAAAAAAAAAAAAAAAAAAAAAAAAAGTTAAAATAAAAGGATAAAAAGTTCAGCCAAATCTATGTCTCAAACCAAGAGATTTCATCCAAATTCAATGAAAAAATTCTTGGTTTAAAGAAGAATAATTGAAACAATTAATTGCACTTGGAAATCTCAAAACGTCTCTAACACGTCTATGCAAAATAGTCTTCATCATAAAAGTAATCAAGACAAAAAATTCACTACTTCCAGTTAAATTCATTATATGGTTGAACAAGCTTTCATTCAAGTTTAATAAATCAAACAAAATAGATGAAAAATCTAGGAAATTTTTCAAAGAATGGTTAAAATTCAGAGTCAGAACGGGAGCACATCATAACTCAACCAAAAAATAACTAAAGAAATAAAAATACAAAGAGAAGTTTCCAAAAAATAAGTAAAATAGCTAATAAATTGAAAAGAGAGGAGAACAAGAAAACTCCACAACAAAAATCCAACCAAAAGAAAAAATAAAACATAGCAAAATCTAAGAAAAAAAAGAAGAAACATAGAAAGAAGAAAAGAGTAACCAATACTCAAGAAACAATAAGAACAAAATAAACACAAAATCAAAAACAACAAGGGGAGTAGAGAATTAAAAATTATAAAAATTTCTGATATAATAAGAAATAAACATTTTGAATTTCCAATTCCTACTTTTAAAAGTAATCATCCAATGAATATAATGAATAAGACCATCAAAAGTGCAATAATTTCTTCTAAAAAATCTTGAATTCTACCTCTGGTTCTATCTATCTTTATTATTGTGTGATATAAAGCAGCACAGAAACATGAACAAATCTAAATGATGAGCTTAAAAACATCATTATTTCAGTGTGATATCAGATACACCATACAATGACACAAAAGATCAGTTCCTTCTACTAAACTTTGACCTCTTCATACTTAACATACTACTTAATATAAATCCTATATTTCAAAGCAGGCTAGTCAATGCAAAAGCCAAAAAAAGCAAAAAAAAAATTTGAACTTCACACTACACTAAATTAGAAAAAACACTAACCTTCAGTTTGAATGTCTTGAGAACTCAACAAGAAAGATTACTATATCTCCTCTGCTATATGGTAAATGAAAGATTACAACTCTGCCTGATTTCTTAAGTTGAATGTACTCGACCATGTCTTCAAGTTAGAGAGACTAAAATGCCGTCCAGATGCAAGATTAAGAAGGCAAGATTGAGCTGGAATTTAGTCTAAATCTTGCCAAAAAATTTTGGGATAATTACATGCATGGCACTCAAAATTTTGCTATTTATAAATTTAGCATGCGTCTTTTTTTTCTTAACTACTAAATGGATGTATTTAAAGTGTTCCACGATCAATTACAAATAAGGGTCGAGGTTTTGTTGTGAATTTTGAAATTTGAGTGAGAAATTGAAAAATGAATGAAAGAAGTTGCTAGTTTGTAAATATCAAAGTTTTGAGTGTTATGCATGTAATTCAACCAAAAAAAATTTAGCATCATAAATCCTAAAACCTTTTAAATATAATTTATCTTGTTTTGCTAAATCCCAAATTTAGTAAAATCCTGGATAAAATAGGATTAAAGAGTTACACTACTTCCCCTCACGACTCATTGTGCCTCCTCTTCACATTAATTTAAGGGCATTTACATACATAGCACACAATTATTGTTAAGTATTTATATATCTCACACCTAAAGTTTCATAATTATATACAAAGAGGGGTTTGCAAGGGTGAGTTTTGTATGATTTAAGTTAAATTTAGCTTGCCTTCCTCACCCGTTGTTCCTAAAGCCCTCACTTTAAAATCAATGCCTTGCCGCCATGTCACGGTCGGCTACTGCCGATCAAAGTACGAAATCAAAAAAGGATAAGAAGAACTTGAATGAGCGAAGGAAGCGGGACGACAGATCCAACTCATCTTGTCTTATGGCCAAGAATGAGATAAAAAAAGAGAAGGAGAAGATGTCTTTCTTCATTAAATGCGCTTCACATTTTAATCCCTATGTTGTCTTTTTTTTTTTTTTTTTGGTTCCATGTTCGTTTGACTCTATGAAATAATTTTTGTTTGGAATGTCTGTTTTGATTTTATCCGAGTTAGCATACAAGTTATTCATTAAAAAATATTTGAGGAGGAAATATATTTTGTTGTGGGGGTAGTTATGATATTTTCATTCAACGTCAATATGCTAAATTGCATGAGAATGAAATCTTGACTGTACTGTAACCTGTAACCCAAAAGCACCTTTGCATATGGACTATGATCCAATGATAGATATGGTCTCAATGATAAAATGATAAAATTTGATTGAAATTTAAAAGTTTCAATGAGAGCAGAATGATCATCTATCCAGAAACAGTTGTAAAATAGTTGTTTTCCAACGGCACAAACCAAACAGTCAATCGATTTATACGGGTCAGTTGCTGATCAACAAATTATCTCGATCAGTTGCTTATCAGCAGATTATTGATAAGCTGCAGCTGCCCCAAACAGATCCTAAAATATTAAATCTAGAAAATATATGCTAAATAGTTTACAAAGGAGTAACGATATTTAACATTCATCATGCAAAACTACTTTTAGGATTTCATCTCTCCATAATTCACTATATCTGGATTTACAAACTTTACTGAACCCTACTGCAGCCGCCAACCCCCAAGAAAACTTCATAAACATTACTGATTCTTATGATTAGAAAGGACTAAAACTTGGTTCAAATCTTCTTCAAACTTCGAATGGTACTAAATTTCTAAATCGAACTGCAAAACTCACATGACGAGTTCCATTAACTTCTCACAGAACCCTAGATCTCCTCCTAGCCCTAATTTAACCCAACACAAACACAAACAACTTGCGAAAAATAGATCATATCAACATATAGGGACGCCATGAAGATAAAGCACAAATCAAAAGCCCCAACCTGCGAGAATAGCAACTAATTTCTTCCTCCCACCCCCGATCAACATTAAGCCCGCCGATCTACATTAAAGAGAGAACATACAACTAAATCCAGCTCGGGAACAGTTTATTTTGCAGGATTCAAACATCTAACAGAAACAGGAATCAGGTTTTCTTAGCATCCGAGAAAAGCAGAAATTTAAGCGAAATCATGGTAAGAATCTTACAGTGACTCAGAGCGGCAGGTTCTTAAATAAATTTGAAGAAAATTGTGGAAAAATCTTCTTCCTCCTCTTTTCTTCTCGTTTCCCTCTCTAGGATTCTGATGAGAAGGAAGAAAGGAAAGAAGTGGATGAAACTACGGAATTGAATAGGAAGAGGACGAGACTGATCAGGAAGGATTAAATATGCTCAGCTGGGGATTATCAGTTGGGGCATTTACGTACCACCTAATTCCAGTTTCGTGCGAGCATTGTTTTTCTATAAGAAATTTATATATATATCACATCTTACACATCTAACATTTAGGGTCTTTTTAGGACAGCTGTTGATTATTTATAATTTGATACATATTATCTGTAGATTATCAGAATAAGTTGGATTATTGTTTGGGTCAGCTTATTAAAAATAACTTATTCATAGATGTTGTTGGATAAATAGCCTTCATGTCCCTGTTTGGTGAAACTGTTTGCAACAGAATTAAAATAAGAACAGAAAAAAAAAAAATTATAAGTAATGTTTTCTTATATAAGATTCCTAATTACTCGGTACAAAAAACTAATGCATAAAAAGTAAATTAAAGCAATATTTTTAATGTGATATCTAATGTTCATGTGTTATGCATGTAAATATGAAAGTTTGGGTATTTTATATGTAAATCTATAAGAATTGTATGCTATACATCTAAATGCCATCAATATATATATAATCAATTAAACAATAATTATAATTATGTTTTTTTTATTATTATTTCTTAACTTAGCCCCAATCTACCCAATGAACTTAAGAGGGGCTTCTGGTTGCATGTATTTATATGGTGGGTTAAGCATTAGGTTAAACTAATTAAAATCATTTCCTATTATTTTCATTTTATTATTATTTTGTTTAATAATAATATCTATTTTCACCACAATTTCAAGTTAAACCATAACTTGGTTTGTATTTGTTTTTTGTTTTGGAAGATTTACATGAATATCACTCTATTCCCATGTATTTACATATCTAACCCCTATACTTCAATTATGACATACAAAACACCTTATTTATCCATGAAAATATTTATATCATTTTGTAAAGGTTAAAATGATGGTATTTTTTATTTGATATGAAAGATTTAGGTGGTATAAATATAAAAAAAAATAGACTTTATATATTATGCATGTATGATGTTAAAATATTCTTAATGAGTCTCATGAATGTAATTGAAGCATTTGTTGGCCACCATACCAGCTCCAATTAGTAATCTGATCAAACACGTCAGAGACAGCAAGCAATGATAAATTGAGGTCAAGATGCATCATACCAAATGAAGTGAACCAAAAATCACTCATTTGATGAAGTGCAGCTTGCAAATGTGTCCGAGACATAAAAATGACAGCACATTAAAAGCGACGACTTATACATAATGATATGTGAATCATATCAAAATAATTGTAATCATCATCAAGATTGCTCAAACGGCACTAATTTGAATAACTAACTTTGTTATTACATACATAGCATCAAAATATGTCAAATGTGATTTTTTGTAGTTGATTTAGGCTCTGTTTGGCTGAGTGTTTTTGTTGTTGCGCTACACCGTCCCGTGAATTTTTTTATGTTTGGGGCGGCGTTTTCTCCACTGTTTGCCGCGATTTGGGGCGAACGCGGAAAGTTGTGGGATAACAGTGGCCCAATTTCATCGCAGCGGCTTGAATTTCTTTTTACGCTGGTGCCCTCGCGATACACGAGGCGCTCTCCTCTTGCGTCCGAAACCCTCCCCGAACTCCCAAAGCTCCTTCTTATCACGAGCGAACAACGTCTCGCATCTCATTCTCTTCCCAAACGAGATTAGTCTCGCACATTCGTCATATTCGCATCCCCTCTTCTTTCCGAGCAGTCTCGCATCTCCTCCTCTTCCCCAACACCCTCGTCGAGGTCATCTTCCCGAGCGGTAAGAAAAAAATATTTTTCCTTTCAATGCTTCGGATCTAAGGAATGGTTCTTGAAATTTTTGTTTGTCTTGAAATTTTTGTTTGAGAAGGGTATAATGTATCTTCCCATTTGATTCTCAACACGCCCTCATTGAAGAACTCTCTTTTGCCCTCCATTTGTAGAAGTAATATGCTATATGTGCGGTTAGGTGGCCTCAGTGCAACATTTTCTTAAATGGCCATCAATTCATTCATGCTATATGGATCTTTCTTGTTGAAACATCTCTACTTGGACATTTTTGTAGTAATCATCTGTTTATACTTGTTAAATTATTTTTTGTAGTAATAAAATGTCAAATTATTTTCTGAAACAATAAATTAATAAAAATAATTAAATTTTAATTAATGTTAATTTATTGTTTCAGAAAATAATTTGTTTAATATAAAAAAGTATTTTATCTTATGTTATATATATAAATACTACACAGGGACATAATGGTCATTTTTTTCAGAAACAGTTGTCCTGCAGTTGTTTTCACACGGCTGCAACAAACAGACAACCAGCTTCCTCACAGCAGCGCAGCTGCAGCTGAAAAGCTGAGAAGCTGCAGCTGCGCCAAACAGACCCTTAATAATCCTCATGAAAATGATAAACTACAGATGTTCACTAATTGGGGCAGTTGTAACTTAATAATAACTTGTTGTGCAGAATCTGTTGCGGATAAACTAATTGTATATTTATTTTTTGCAGTTTGAAAACATTTGTGTTGTAGTTGTTGCAGGACAAATGATCATTATACCCATTATATAGTAATATTGTTTGCAACAGAACTGTTCATATCAGTACATTATATACTTTTAAAATTAAATATTCAATGTGTGCCATTAAAATAAAGATAGACATCTCACTTAACAATATCATCACCACTACATTAAACATCAAAGATAAGGATAAAACCCCACTATATATTTTTCATTTGATGTGGTTACATATATGGCACTCGAAACATTGCTATCAACAAATCAAGCTGCCTCTTTCAATCATTTCTCAAATTCTCACCCAAACTTCAAAAGTAAGGATAAAACACCACCCCATATTTTTCATTTAAGGCTGCCAAATACAGGGCACTTGAAACATTTTTATAAACCAATCGAGCACCCTCTTTCAACAATTTCTCAAATTCTCACTAAAACTTCAAACGTATAATAAACCACATTCCATATCACATTAAACCACAATTTTTCAAATTCCAAATCATAAAGAAAAAATACAAATCACGAAATCTAAATTCTCACTTCAAATCACAAATGAGAAAGGCAGAAATAACAAAATCCAAATTCTCACTTGAAATCACAAATGAGAAATCCACAAAAAGCAAAGAAAAAGCCATTCCATCGAAAAAATAGGGGATACCACTGGAGGACGGAGAGCACAACAAACACGGAGAGAGTTGAAGATCGGAGGGAAGAGAGAGAGTGAGAGACAACCCATTGCTACCAGAGATAGGAGAGAAGAGGGAAAGGAGAAAGACACCCCATTACCACTAGAGAGATGCTCGAGAGAGGAATGATTAGGGCAAAAAAAGCGCGAGAGAGAGGGTGGCAGTGAGAGGGAGCGCAAGAGGGCAGTAGAGTAATATGTTCGCAAAGAAACATAGGCTGCGGGGTCGAACCCACCACCCACGTTTAACTTAAATTTTTAAGGAATGTTGTCGACTTGTCGTGCCGCTATTTCCAAATGCTTCATCCTGCGTTTTCAGAACACACCACGTCAAATAAGCTGGCTTAAACGTGCCCTAAATCGCCTTGACAACTGCAAGAGTTCTCGAACGTCATTCAACCACAAAGTGTGTTGCCTTATTGCATTAAAGAATATTCAAACTTGACTCATTTTGTCCGGGTAATGCACGTGTGAAATCAATAACAGACAATTCAAGAAGAGCATCCACAAATATTGTGAAGATATTATTATGTGATTAAATACTAAAATCATCACCATTTCCAATTTATTTTGATATTACTATAAAATTTATAACTATTTTATGCCTTTTTTTTTATATTTAAGGGGCATTTACATATACACCTTCTAATTCCGATATATTTACATATATCTAACACCAAAACATTACTTTTTATATTTATACCGCACAAATATTTCATATAACTTAGAAAAATATCAATATGCTGATTTTTTAAATAGACCTTTTCATGCATTAGTTAAGGTGGCATATATATAAAAATTGAAAGTTAGATGTGTAAATACACATAAACTGACTGTTATACATGTAAATCTTCCTATTTCAATTATCTTGTTATCTGTTTATCATGAAAGGATTTTAAAAAATAGTTCTCATCATTAAAACATTCTTTTATTATTGTATACGTTATTATATAAGTTTAATTAAATTCGTAAATGAATAGCAATAAATTATTGATCTCATTACAATTTCATGGTGCATAAAATTGATTTTATTTGATAACTATTTTCATTTTTTACTCTTCTTCTGTTCCATCAAAATCCACAACTGCAGTTGCCAAACTGTCCCTATAATAGAGAAGGGAAATTTTTAGTTGGGACAATTTATTTTGGTGCGGTGACATTTTTAAAAAGCACATAATTTGTTTGGCTAAATTGTGTTTTGACAGCTTATGCGTTTTCAAAACGCTGAAAACACCATTTTCATACCGAATCTATCTAGGTGCGGTGACACATTTCTAGCAACGATCTGACTTTTTCAAAAAAATAAAAAATTATAATAACCACAGCACCTAGTTTATTAGCATATTATTTTTAATCAGTTTATCAGCATATTATCCAATAAACTGCAGCTGCAAATTACTTTATAAAATTTTCATAATTATTATTTGTGAGTGAATTAAATAAAACTTAAATTATTAAAAACTGCCATAACAAGATTTGTTTTCAAAACTATTAAATAAAATTTAAAATATATTTTATAGAAATACTATAGTTTTAATTGAAAATTTACGGAATACGACTACATTTTTGGAATGCTACAGAGCAATTTTTTTAAGCGTAAGAAAAAAACAGCTGAGGTTTGAAAAGTTGGTAAAAAGCAATTCAGGCAGTTTTGTCAAACGCATTCACGTCGCTGTGCAAATTTACCCTTTTCTCCCTGAACCGAGTCTACTCATGACACCTGTTCGAATTCGAATCGCTTCTCCCTCCAAACCCTAAGAAGGCTGCCGAACGCCGGAGGTACAGGTCATCCTCCTCCGGCAGCGGCGACCATCAAATTGAGGAGCTGCTTCCATCCCCTCGGCTCCTCTTGGCGTGATCCATCTCAGTCTACAGTACTCAACTTCTATATAGGTCTGTGTCGAGCTTCAGTGACGTCACCTTCTTTTAAAGTGAGGATGGTTTTCGTTACTAGGATGCTCTTATTGATGCCTGTTGGGCGATATCGAGCAGCCTAACATTCTTGAAGTCTGCTTCAAGTCCGCGGCTCTTTTCCGGTGAATGTACGTCCAACTATACCCTAATCGTTGTTATCCATGGAATAGCTTTCTCGAAACACAGTCCGACGGCTCTTCTACAGTGAGATCGAGTCCCCCGCAATAAGACCTTCAGCTCTGCTTTTTTAATTTTGCGGTGCTTTGCTTGAGTTGTTTTGCAGTGGAAGTGTTTGTAGTTTGTGTTGATTTTGTTATAAAAAACGTTACGATTATTGTTTGATTCTCTGCCGCAAAGATTTCATCTATTATTTTACATTTGAGAGCCTTCGGTCAGTTTATATTTCTTGTTGGTTAGTGCCGACTCATTCTGTTTGTGCATGTACATCCCACTTCATTCCTTCTCAATTGACTTTCTTCAAATTGTCAACAACTTAAAATTTGTAAAACCCTTGACTAGTCTCGGTATTGTCTTATAGAGAAATTCAAGGTTCGGATGCATGAAATTCCATTTGTTACTGGGCCTACGGACGCAGTTGTCTCTGCGTATTAGATAAAAGTGCGTTTTCAATAAGAAAAGTGGAGCGATGTTGACGTTACAAAAAAAAAAAAAAAAATCAGTCAAGTTTCTACTGTTTTAGAGTGCATTTGATAATTCTGGTTGGTCAAATATGCTTATCAAGTTCATTTGATTTTTTTTTTGTTGCAGAATCTGCCTAACTGAATCTTAAATCTTTGAGATTTCATTTAATTTCTACATCTTGTTAAGGCAATATAGCATTTTTTTCCTTTCTATTCATCGTGGCCTATAATTACTTATTAAATCAGTTTGTTTGTTCAAATGCAGGTGGTGACGACATCATCATTTGAAGATATTGTTTCCATTCTTCTTCGAGCTACAAGCTGTTTTAAACCATGAATAAGCAAGCTTCTGTTGTTCCTAGTTATGGGAAGAACAAAGGACCAGTCACAAGAGCTAGAGCTGCCAGCTTGGCTTCTCATGGCCGAAGACTGCTGCCAAGGCCACCTTTAATACCTGATAAAAAACAAACAAAAGTGGGAAGAACAAAGAGAGTGATTTCAGAAGAGAACAATCCTACTGCCCCATATGCTGTAACTTCGCAGAACAAAAAAAGAGCGGTACTTAAGGATGTCTCCAATGTGTGCCGTGAGAGTTCTTACAGAAATTGCGCTAATGCAGTAAAAATACAGGTGATTTCCCTACATATCTTCCTCTTTTAGATACATTAATGAGTATTTTAACTCCATAGCATTATTATCTTGTTTCCCAATTCTCATTCTCACAAACTACAATTTTTTTCCAATTTTGCTATTTGCATTTAGGCCAAGGATTGCAAGCAGCAAGTTCGACCAGAAAATTTGAAAGCCAAAACAAGTTCTGATCAAAGGGATTTAAAATCCACCCCCGCCATTTCTTCTAGTTTTGAGCAGCATCATGATGGAAACGCTGGAAAATGTGTAGTAGATATGTCAGAGAATTTAAGTGTTCGAGAGAGCTCATTTACTACAGCAAATTTGGATGGGACCATGCAAAACAATAATTTGGATGGGACTAAAATGGAAGGTTAGCATTGTAGATGATCTTTAATTTTAGAAAGATTTACATACATACCACCCAATTCTTATGTATTTGCATATCCAACACCTAAACTTCAATTTTTAAATGCATGCCACTCTACCTATGAATGACAAGGTGTTTTTCAATTTTTAAAAGTTAAAATGGTGTTAGTTTTTTGTAATATGAAAATTTTTGGGTGGTGCAAATGTAAGAAGTAAAGCTTAGGTGTAAGATATGTTAATATATAGGACTTGGGTGGTATGTATGTAAATACCCATGTACAAAATACTATATGCCCTTGAAATTAGAGGAACTTCATTGGACCAACTATGTAGCTTTGATTTTGGTCTATATATATGCAATTGCTACGTTTAGTTGTTTTGGCCATTTTAGAAGTTCATAGTTTATGTTTTTAGTTCTTATTTTTGAAACAAAATGCGCAGTTTACAGATCATGTTCACCAAAATGGGTTTTTAGAGCTAATGTATTTGTGTTTTCACATGTTCTGTAACAAGCCTATGTGTTTTTTAGTTAATTAGACTAATCACGCAGATTAAAGATTAATTTGACATGTTAAAGATTAATTAGTTTTATAATCAGTGCCATCAAATTTTTGTCAGTATTTAATTGTGAAATGTCGTCTAGCATAGTTAATTAATTACTTAACATCATTTTACATTGATTACATGCCAGGGCTAATTAATAATTAATTAGATTTTCAATTAATATCATTTAATTTTTTAAATTGCAATAATTTGGCCTGAAGGAGTAAATTAATTGATTAAATAGTCATAAAAATTAGCAATTGAATACCTTATTGATTAGGGATTAATGAGGTTTTAGTCATGATCGTTCAGATATTATTTTTATTTAGTGAATAAGCAGTTTTTTAATAATTGATTGGATTTTAAATATTTTTAGCCTAATTAATGCTTAATGAAGATTTTATTCAATATTAATGATATATATTAGCATTTAATTATGTTAATTAGGTTTGATTTAAATGATCAACTCTTAACTGACTAGAATAATCAACAACTAACTATTTATTTATCCTAAAGTTTGCAGTAGATTGTCAAATTTCTACTTGTGCCTGACTAGAGTAATTAGGCTTAGCAAATAATTATTATCTATTAATTTTGGTGATTAAGAATTAGCTAGTAGTGTAATATAGTTTGTTAAGGATTAATTGTGCCTACGTATGATTTTTTAAATTGATGTTGTTGAAATATTAATTAAATATAGTTTTGCTAACTAACAAGTATGATTAATTAAAATATTTGTAAACCAAATATATAATTATTAGTTATTGATTGCAATGCTAAATTTAGATTAATTAAGGCTTAAATAAGTTTAGGATAATTGATATTTGGATAGGATTAATTATGAATTTAGTAGACTGAATTATGATCATTCCTTATATTGAGTTCATTTTCTAATTTTTTCGATGAAGAAAAAAGTGGACGACCCGGATGCTTTTTTAATTAAAAATAAAAACAATATAAAAATGAAACAAAGCAAAATGAAGCGAATCGTAAACAAAATAAATGTAAGCCAGATGTTGAGTATGCATAAACTGAATTTTAATCTGAATTTTTTATTTTTATGCTGATTAACTTGTTGTTTGAGTTCATAATGCAGTTAAAGGTATCCTTTCTGAGGACCAGGACTTCAATTGCTCAGGTATTCATGACATTGATTTGGATCTTTCAAACCCTCAAATGTGCAGCCTCTATGCAAAAGATATATATGCTAATCTAAGAGCTTCTGAGGTAATTAATGCTGCTTCTTTGTCCTTTAATTCTGCCTATTTTGTTTTGCCTGAAAATCCTTCCTTAAACTGTTCTATTGCTTCTTTTTTACTTTATTTTCACAAATGTTAATGATTCATACTATTCACTGATAGAGTTGATTTTTCTTAGTCTTTTATTTATGATATTGTTACATTATTTTCTAAGAAATGTTTTTCCTTCTTCTCACCACTTCTGCTAGAAAGTTCACTAGATTAGCTTGTTTCCGTCCTTTATTTCTTCAGCTCATCCGTAGAGCCTCTTCAACTTTTATGGAAACCTTGCAACGAGAAATCACTCCAAGTATGAGAGGCATCTTGATTGATTGGCTGGTTGAGGTAAGTATTAGTTTGTTAGATGATTTATACATTTTTTGTTAAAAAAATACTTATTATGGCTTGTATTTTCTTTAGCATTTGCATGCTATTTATTTTCATGTTTGACAGGCGAGACCCTTTTTTGAAGTCCATTTTATTCTTAATTCCATAGCAAAATGTTCCCTTTTTTAGTAATCATGATCTGATTTATAGTAGAAGAATTTTAAGAATGTCATAATACAAAATTAAAATTCTAGTTTCTACTATTGGAAAATTGAGGAAGTTGGTTGACTTCTGCGGCAGCTACATAAATCATCTCATTTTATAATCAATAAAACAAAACACATATTTAAGATATCAAGCTTGTTTTATTTTATGCCAAAACATAGGCAAAATAAAATAAAAGATTTAAAAAAAAAAGAAAAGCATAAAATGATCTCAAACAATACCTTAGTGTATGAAGAAAAGGGGATTATCAATTGTAGAATTGATGGTTGTAGTTATTATGAAAACAAGCAAAAAATAATCCAATGATGATAAATGCTTCTTCGATTGTTTTAACCATAAGCTAAAATTTCAAGACCTCAAAGTTTTTGAGTTCTCGTGATTTCATTCCATTGTGATTGCTGAGATTTTGATTACATTGTGATTACAGAGTGATGTTGATGATGATTTATGCTACACAAGAAGCAATCCCACGATTGTTTTAATGCTCAACTTTTGTAACTTCAAATTTTTAGAGTAACGTGTTGATTTCATTGTGATTATGTTTTTTCTACATATCTACACTCGTTTGCTGCATCATAGCGAGTTCCCCCATGATTGTTGCAATTGCAAATATATGCTCAACTTTTGAGGCTTTCAAACTTTTGAGTTATTGGTGTTGTTTCCATAGTTATTGCATAAATGTTGATTATTCTATATAGTTGAAATATGTTCTTACACACATTTGGTGCCTTTATTTACTTTTAAAATATGTGAGGTAATTGATGTTAATGTTCTTAAAATTTATAGGTTGCTGAGGAGTACAAACTTGTTCCAGATACACTTTATTTGAGTGTTTATGCCATCGATAGATTTCTATCTGGAAATTGTATTGAAAGGCAAAAGCTGCAACTTCTTGGTGTGACTTGCATGTTGATTGCATCGTAAGATCTTGTTGATAGTATGAGGGATGCTTTATATTCAAGCTTTTTAAAATTCTAGCATTTTTTTCCTCAGCTATTTTTAATGCTTTTTTAGACTGTAATGACTTCCAAAATTTTACGTGTACATTATGACTGAGCAGCCAACATTAATTTTCTGCAAATATATTTCATTGAAATTTGTGAACCTATTTGTTATATTTTCAGAACAACTGTAGTCATGCCAAAAAGAAAAGTTATTGAGGCATGAGTACTTCCTGAGTTAGTGCATATAATGTTTTCCATTTGCAATGATAGACATAAGTCAATGAATCATTATGTTTTTAAGCAGAAAGGCCACTCTTGACCTCAATTTGCTTTATCCCGTTCAATGTTATATGCAGGAAGTATGAAGAAATTTGTGCTCCTCGTGTGGAAGAGTTCTGCTTTATTACAGATAACACATACACCAAAGAAGATGTATGATTATCCTTCTCCTGTTAATTTGATATCGTTTTTTTTACTAGAAAATAATTAAAATTAATGAAGTAAATAAAAAAATAGAAGTTAACTATATCATCTTTAATCAATGTTCGCCCTTTCAATGATAGGTACTCAAAATGGAGGTTCAAGTACTAAGCTATTTGGATTTTCGATTGTCTGTTCCCACAATAAAAACATTTTTAAGGCAATTTATTCTTCTAGAACATTTTTATTTATGCAAGATCCATTCAACATTATATCTCTAATAAAATCCTACTTTTTTGTGCAGGAGGTTCCTCAGAGCAGCACAAGCATCTCATAGCGTATGTTACACATCAAATTTATTTACTTTTTAGTGTTTCTTTGGGAAATAAACATCCTGAAATGATAATATTGATCTCTTTAGGGGTAAACCTGCCTGAGTATCTTGGAAAAATGCATTTTATCTAGCTAAATTCAGTAAATTTTTTTCTCTTCTTGTGTGCATGAAGGTGTTGAATCTTCGGAATACAATTATATCCTACCCAAATGTACCTTTTGTGATTTGTTGACGGGATGAAGAATTGCATAACATCTGCTTAGATTATATATGATTGGGATATGTGTACTTCTGGAAATGACATATACTCATTATAATAGATGCACTGCTCAGATATTGATTTAGGAAATACAAGGTCCGGGTTTTCCGATTGCAATTTAATATTTGTAATATGAATTTAAAGCTTTTTATGCAGTTATTTTTGTGGAATTGTAATCGTAAAGAAGGAATTCGACACCAAATGATGTTTCGATAAGCATACAGAGTTGAGGATAAAAACTACTTAATAGGGATAATTATTTACTGTTGGAAACAGCTAGCAGCTGAACCAAAGATGTGTGAAACACCTATACATTCCTAAACAGAACTCAAGTTCATTTAATGAGAGACATGTTATTAATTCATGCTAGAAATTAAGTATGTGCTGAATAGTTGGTTAAACACATCCACCCTTTAAACCAACAGTTGAATTATTATGAGCATAATTCAATTGTTGGTTAAACACATCCACAAACACTGCGCGATGTTCTCTTCCTCATGCCCGTTTGCGACCAGACGCGAAACGGTGTACAAAAAACTCGCAACTGGCGATTCTTAGCAGTGGAGAACTGAAACTCCATCTTGCTCCTTAGTCATGTGATACATGCACCATCAAAGCTTGCGGGGAAGCCGCGACGAGCTTTCAGGGTATAAAAAAATTGTCTTTGATATCGAAAATTTTTCTGAAAGAGATGACATCAAAGAGAGTTGATGGTTTGGAGAAGAATTGGAGGAATAGATGAGTAAAATCAAATCTGGTATGGAAGAAAGATTTTTCACCTTCTATTCTATGGAAAATCAACTGGAGGATCGATTCGAGAGCATGGGGGAAATTCGAGAGATACTAAAGCTACTCATTGAGATGCAATCCAAGTGTAAATCCCAACCAAAGGTTGAATGGAGAATATGTGGCAAGATGAAAAAGAAAAGAAATCGAATTTGAGGAACATGAGGAGGAAAACATCCATCATCACGAATCTCCTCTCAGGGCTTTGTTTAGGGGTGGATTAGAGATTTCTGATGAAGACAGGTGGGCGGAAATGTGGGGAGGAGATTATGCCAAAAGAATATATGAAATGATGAAGAAGATAATGAAGTTTGACACAAAACTGGCTCCTTCCGCTGTGTGATCAATCGACGACATTGATAATAGACAGCAACAACAGCAACCAGAAGGACTTGCACGACATCAGGACGTCATCACCACTTTAAGTGGATCAGGAGCTGCAATGTCAAGTGAAGAAATCAGGAACAGACTTGAGCAACAACACTTTAAAGAAATAATACGACATTTGGATGGCGTGAACAAGCAAAAGCAAGCAGGATTGAAGTTGACATAGGTGGAAGAGACACGTAAGACGGAGGACAGAGATTATGGTGATTAGTAAGCCACAATATGAGTTGTTTGGGGTTGTGATAATCTCTAAGATTGATTGGAAATCAAGCCACCAATCGATTAAGAGGCGGCCAAACGATATGTACAAGACTGCATTTTGAACTTCTATTGGTCACAACAAATTTTTGATTAAATGGAAGTACGATCAGATAATGACGCCAGGTGAAAGCCTTTTGACTTAATCAAGTAGCAATCTATTTTTTTCCCACCTTGAGTGTGTGGGGGAGTTTTTTTTTTGGGGGGGGGGGGGGGGGAGTATTGTTACGTCTATGCCTACTCGAAGGGCAGTTTAGTCTTTTATTTTCATTATTGTATTAAATAAATAATACAACAATTTAAAGAAATAATACGACATTCGGATGGCGTGGACAAACAAAAGCAAGTAGGATCAAAGTTGACAGAGATGGAAGAGACACGTAAGACGGAGGACAGAGATTATGGTGATCAGTAAGCCACGGTATGAGCTGTTTGGGGTTGTGATAATCTCTAAGATTGATTGGAAATCAGGCCACCAATCGATTAAGAGGCGGCCAAATGATGTGTACAAGACTGCATTTTGAACTCCTGTGGGTCACAACAAATTTCTGATGAATCGGAAAAGATGGCCAGATAATGACACCGGGTGAAAGCCTTCTCACTTAATCAAGCTGTAGTCTAATTTTTTCCCACCTTGAGTGCAATGTGTCTTTTATGGGGAGGGGAGTATTTTTACGTATATGCCTAGTCTAAGGGCAGTTTAGTCTTTTATTTTTTTTTATTTTTGGGTATAAATAGACTTGCTATGTTGGTTAGATTTATGCATGAGATTAGATTGTGAGTCTTAGGTCTAGGGTGTGGGAGAGATCTCTTATCTCTAGAATTGTAGGAATTGGGAGACATCGCCTACTTATCGAATTGTAGGTTTTTGTTTTTGTATTCTTGTTGAATTGATTGGATTATTACAAAAAAATTGTGTTTGCCCTAATTTTGCAAAAAGCATTTCGATTGTCGTAACAGATTTCCATATTCACTTCTTTCTCAAGGCCTTTATTTAGAAATACTTCTTTGATAATGAACACTATTAAGTAGTAAAAGATGTACTTTGTTAATCAAAAGGAAATGCTCTTATAAATAAAAATAATTGCTGATTGAATAATAATGTGCAAAAAAAGATAAATATAAGATGTTTTGTTATGGAAATTTATTTAAATGCAAAAATTTAGAGAATTGAGAAATATATAAAGTGGCCCATAAGTGGTTTAAGAGAACAATTTGTGATGTTAAGAATTTTGCTTTCAATGATATTTATACTAAATTAGATACTAAAGAGGTTAAAAAGATATATGTATAAACTAGTCAAATAAAAATGTAAGAAAAGAAAAGTAAAGATATAGTTCAAATAAATATATTAAAGAGAAAAATCAAGAAGTACTTTTCTTATATGATGATGTTTAACATAATGGGTGAGATATTTTTATAAATTTTTTTTAAAAAAAATTTGAAAAGACGATCTATTTTAATGATATTAATATAATTAATATTAATAAATTTTTATTTTTATCATCCCATTAATAAAACAGAAGTTGAGGAAACTCGAAAGAAATGAGAGGTGGAACATCAACTAGACGATAGTATCCAAATAGAAGTGTGAAAATATTCAGGGATTTTAGGAATTTATTGGTTTACTAGCTTTTTTGGTATTATTTTAAAAACTAAAAAGATGCCTATGGAGGGAAGGAAGATTATTTTAGTTTCTTTTTTTAATAATAAAGGGGATGCACAAGTGTGTACAAATTGTAGAGGAATTAAATGAAGGTGTGATATGTTAAAATTATGGGAGAGAGTAATTGAACATGGTTTAAGACGTAATACAAAGATTTCTCAAAATCAGTTGGATTCATGCCTGACTATTCTACTATGGAAGTTATGTATTTATTTAGAGGTTTGATGGAGAAGTAAAGAGAGGGTAATGAGTATTTGCATATAGTTTTGTTGATTTAGAAAAGGCTTTTAATAAAGCACCAAGAAATGTACTTTGGAGAGTTCTAGAAAAAGAAATGTGTTGATATGACTTATATTCAAGTCATTAAAGGTATGTATCCTAGAGCTATTACTTGTGTTCGCACAGAAGAAATCTAATATTTTCCTATTTTAGTTGGATCGCATCGGGAATTAGTTTTAAATCCATATCTTTTTGCTTTAGTTATGGATGTTATTAATGGACATTTGCAAGAGGATGTACCTTTATATATACTTTTCACTGATGATATCCTTCTTGTGGATAGGACTAGAGAAATTGTTCAGGAAAAACTTGATTTATGGGGGTCAACTTTTTAAAAGCTTTTGTTTGAGTAGTAGTAGTAGATCGAGTTTAAAAGTTTTTTTTTTTAGTAGTAGTAGTAGATCGAGTTTAAAAGCTTTTGTTTGAGTAGATCTAAAATTGATTACATGGAATGTAATCTTAGTAGTAGTAGATCTAGTGAAGACGTTGCAACAATAGGTGATCAAGTCATTAAAAAGAGTAAACTTATTAGATATCTCTGGTCGATCGTTCATAGTGATTGTGATATGAATGGGGAGGTTATTAATAGAATTTAAGTTAGATGATTGAAATGGAGGAATGTATCGGGCCTATGGTGTGATAGAAAATTACTACTTAGATTTAAAGAAAAAATTTATATGACAGTGGAGACTTGTAATACTTTATGGTGCAAAATGTTGGCTATAAAATAGAAGCATAAAACTAAGTTAAGTGTTGTTGAGATGAGAATGCTTAGGTGGATGAGTGGCTTTACACTTCGAGACAAAATGCGAAATGAATTTATCCATGATAGGGCTGGTGTAGCTCTAGTAGCAGACAAGATTAGAGAGAGTCGTCCTAGATGGTTTGTTAACATTAAACACCGACCATTTGATGATCCAGTTAGGACGATAGATGTTTTAGATTTGACTTTTGTTAAGAAATGTAAAGCTAGACCTAAAAAGACTTGGTCATGTTGTATAAAAAATGATCTTAATCTATTTGAATTTAATGAAAGTATGACGCTCAATAGGACATAGTGGAGAAAAGGATTCATGTAGCCGACCCCACTTAGTGGGACAAAGGCATGTAGTCAACCCCATTTAGTGGGACAATGGCTTGTTGTTGTAATGGGGTTTAGCACAGAGCATCATGCGGTTAGACCAAAATGTTTGGTGTAGATTTTGATCTTTGAAGCATTGTGTTAGCCATTTTAACGAGAGTTCAATTATTACTCGAAGCAACCTCATTTTATTAGTGATTTCAAAGCACTAAAAAGTTTTTTAAAGTACCTCTATGGTCACCATTATTTAAGAAACTTGTCAAATTAACATTTCATGCATGTAATAAATATTTGGGGAAGTGTCACCTTATATCCAATTACTAATTTAGGGAAAGAATATGAACTCCAAAATTGTGACTTGCATTTAAAATGTTTTCATCCTAGAAGAATATGGAGTAAGCAAAAGTCTTAACTTCTAAAGGGAAAGTTTTAGTTAAAGTGCTTGAAAATTTTTTTACAAAATTTTCACTTCTTATTTATAAAACTAAGTAATTTGTCATGAAATAATATAACGATAACAATTTATCTGGATAAAAGTAATTTTCTAGAGCTTTTAGTGGAAATAGTTTAAGGTTTGTTATGCTTAATAACCTTATGTCGCATAGAAAGCGACATTTATTTCAAAACATTGGGTACAAGATTTAATACAGCATATAATATAATGATCCTGATATATGGAGCGTTCCTTGCATCATACCTAATTATTATTTTGAGAACCTAGAGGATCAGGAGTTCTCATGCTCCATGTTGTAATATGTATCATAAGAAATGATTTGAATCTACCTAAATTCATATGCATGGTATAATCAATATATGACGTGACAATTGCCTACATATTTAGTAAAACCTTTTAAAGACAACGCTACAAGGGCTAATGGTTTTGAATACTAATGAAATAATAAAAATAAAAAGGAGAATTTACATATATACCCACACAATTTATATGTATTTTTATATCTAACACCTAGAAGTTTTATATGTTCATTAATAACACTTTGGTTGTTGAATCTTTATGGGTCTGTAGGTATGTCACTCAAGCTGGAATGCCTGAGGCCTGAGATCTGAATAGAGAGCAGCAAAGGGTGGAAAGAAAAGTCTTCTCTTTTTTGCTAATAATGAGATTATAGCCTCCTTTCTTAGACATTTGACCTTTTAATTATAATTAAGGGTTATCCCTTTAGTGGTATAGAGGGTGACTTGAAAGCAGATAGAAAGTATATTGTGTTCAAAATATTAATGTTGGGGTGGCCTAGATTTTGGAAGCCGTACAAACTTTTGGCGGTAGCTTAGTCCTTATTCTGTAGTTCTGTACAAAATGGTGCAGTAAAATGTCAAGTGTGAACTGCAAGTTGATTATAATTAGTTTGACAGTTCACCCAAGCCGAGCTGACAGTTTGCCAAGTATGGACTGTCCATCAGGTTGGCTACCTTTGGTTCTTGGCCTAGTTGGCAAGTTGTTATAGAGAGGGTGAGTTATATTATTTATTGACACTACTTGACCTTTATCCCTTTTCATGTTGGGTTTGCCCAAGTTTTTTGGGGGTTGGAGTCCTGAGTTGGAGCCTCATAGGCCTTATCTCTTTATAATTTTACTGCAGAACAATAAGAGAATTAAGTTGTGTTAAGTACTTATGTATTATATAATGTGTAACATTTGTCTTTTAGTGAGTAATTTATGTGACCTAAGATTCCCTGCACCATTCTATAAGCCTGGCAGTTGCGATAGATATTTGTGCCTCCCTTTCCCGTGGAAGCCTTTGCTATTTGTATAGCGTGATTATTGGGAAGATGGGCAGCCCAAAGAAAATTTTGCATGACAGCACAAAATTAATGTGTGGCATTCCTGACAGCTACTTGGCAACCATGTTGTTTGGTAAGAGGAAGTAGGGTGATAATTCTTTAAAGAAGAAGAAGAAAGTTAGAATTAAAGGGGGCTAAATGTTGTTAATGCTGAGGTGGGCATGCTTTTTAGGTATTTCGGAGAGGTTAGGATAGGTCATAGCTTCACGCTTGCCTCCCAGAAGATCTTCAATGCTAACGCATTGTCTTGGAGAATTGTTAACTTCAAGGCACAAAAAATAAGATGAATAGCTTGTCTTAATTGTTAGAAAATCATTCCATGTTTCATGCTATAATTATTAAACTATAAAAATCCTATGGATAATTCACTTAACATGAAACATTTGACATAGAAACATATACATAGAAGTAATTTAAAAATTACAGCATGAAACCTATGTAGGACTTTCGGTTTTGATTAAATGGGCATGAAGGCATATGTAACTTTGTAAATTGGCATCCAATATATGAATTAAAAAAATATAGAAGAAAAATCCTTATGATTTCATACATGTTTGATTCGGTTTAGATTAAAATGCATGAAAACTTGTATTTTTATGCAAAAGCATCAAACACATGGATTAAAAGATAATATAACAAAATTCTCAAGGTTTCCTGCACATTTATGTTTTAGTTTTGAGCATATGAGGATGAACATGGAATAATTTTGTAAAGTAAAGCCATATGAACATTAAACAAGGAAATTGAAGGTAAATCCCTGGACAAATTTCAACAAACTCATGTATGGATTTTTGGTTTTGGCTAAGCAAACAAGGATACCTATTGACTACATGCAATAACATTCAACTAATCCATTATAATGAATTTAAAACAAAAGCCTTATGGTTTGCGCATGGATCATGGATGATTATGTTGAATTAACATCAAATTACCTTTGTTGTAAACATATAAATAAAAAAAGCCCTATGAAATGTGAGGTAGTAGTACTATTGTAGTGGGCCCTCCTTGAGGAAGTGAAATAATTTTATAAGAAAAATGATAGATTTTAAAATTTGGCATGAAAGCATGAAAAGGTTTAAATTTCCATGGTGTAAAGTATGTTATACCTTTGCATTTGTTGCTGAATTCCCTCGGTTTATAAGAAGCATGAGCTAGGTTTTTATGATGAAATTTTGATATTGGTTGATGTGGATAGAGTATTACAAATATGTATGATAGAGGAATGTTACTTCATATGAATTTACAAAACCTTTCAGTTCTAAGATTGGAAATTCGCAATAGAAGAGGATGGGTCTTAGGAGACACTAATACACGGAGGGCTTCAAATTCAATAAGCATGATTGATGAAGATGAATTATAATGCCTCTTGTTAGTAATAAACTGAAGCTGTTCAATTGTTCAGGCTTTCCAAGCAAGGTCTTTTCATACTTTTTTTAAGATAATCTATTTCGCCAGATTTTATAACTTGAAATGCGACAGAGCTAAAAAGTTTATTTTTTCATCAAACAATGTTTATTATCATAATTATCATTTTCCAATATCTTCCTCATAGTCTTAATAGGTTTATTTTGTGAAATCATTCTTTTCTTTTCAGCGCCTTTTCTTGGGTGAGTGCATAATTGCTGCCAATAATTCGGGGTTTAAGCAACCATATCCTTTGGCATTGACTTCAAATTTTAACAATACTGTTGGAATTCTAATTTCCACATCCAAAATGTGAATTGCTCAAGGATTTGATCCAAAAATGATTCATTTACATGCATACCACTCAATTCTTATGATTTTACATATCTAACACCTAAGATTCAATTTTTATATGTTTGCCACCTTAGCTATGCATGAGTGGGTATTCCACTTTTAAAACTTAAAATAATGGTATTTTTAATGTGATATGAAGGATTTGGATGGCATGAATGTACAAGTTAAAGTTTAGGTGTTAGATATGTAAATACATAAATTGGGTGGTATTTATGTAAATGCCCCTTGATTTTATTAATGTTTTTGCAAAGTAAACTGCTTGCCTCATATCTTCTATTCCAACCTGCAGGCTCCCTCTCTTTCTTTAGGATACATGACAAATTATTTATCGGAGCTTACATTGGTCGAATATAGTTTCTTAAAGTTTCTTCCTTCTGTTATAGCTGCGTCTGCTGTGTTCCTCGCCAGATGGACGTTGGACCAATCTGAGGAGCCTTGGGTAATGCTTTCCAACCCCAATCATTCTTTCAGAAAAATAAAATAAAATAGCTCATGATATCCTGGTCAAAATTTTTGGTTAATATTGTTATCAAAGCAGTTGGATATGCATTGAGATGAATGCCAAATAAATTTTAATTGATTATTCACGTAGAAGATTTACACAAGTAACACTCAATCCTTATATATTTACATCTATATCCCACTTTATCTATGCATGGAAAGGTGTATTTCACTTTTAGAAGTTAAAATAGTTGTATTTTTTATATGATATGAAAGTTTTGGGTGAATTAGATGTAAAAAGCAAAGTTGATATGTAAATACATAGGAATTAGGGTGGTGTGTATGTAAAAGCCCCTAAAATAAAACCAACAGTTTTCACATCAGATTTTTCCTATTGTTCTCTTTATCCATCCTACTTAATTGTTTTTATTGCTGTTTTTTACAGAATTGCACTTTAGAGTACTACACCTCTTACAATGCATCAGATCTAAAGTCTGCAGTTGTACAAATGCATGATCTGCAGCAGAATTCCAGTAGTTCCCCACTCAGCGCAGTTCGTGATAAATACATTCAGGACAAGGTACAGCACATCTCTCCCAACATTTACTTAGTATTTAAGTATAAAAAAAAAAATGAAAATATTATAATCAAAATTTGATCCGAATAAGTTTAAATTCCTCGAAATTTGATTTGAGATTAGTGTAATACAAGATTTGATTGATCATCCATGCATTAAACTCATCTCAAATCGCATTAAAAAATTGGGACATTTACATACATACCACCCTAATTCCTATGTATTTAGATTTCTAATACCTAAATCTCTTACATTTGTCACGCAAATCTTTGATATCACATCCATAACAAGTGAAATACGCCTTCTCATGTATAAGCAAGGTGATACGTATGTAAAAATTAAAGTTGATGTGTTAGAAATGTAAATACCTACATTATGTTTGTAAATCTTCCTAAAAATTTTCAATCCCACCAAAATTTGCACTTTTTTACACCCCACCCCACTTTTTTTGTTAATTTAAAGGCTTGGTTTTGGCAGTATGAACGGGTGGCTTGTAGAGTATCTCCAAAACTTCCAGATTCACTATTTTCCTGATACCTATGGACGAGGAACCTTCCTTTTTTTTTTTATTTTTTTTAAATTGTTTTTAGCTAGTCTTCATTCATTTTGATCAAAGCCTCATCTAAAGGGAGAGGGTTTGTAGCACAGGTTAGTGCTTAGATCTTACTGCTAGTTAAAAAAGCCATGTATACCTGTTTTAACTTGTGACTCTCTTCTCCGCTTTTCATTGTATTTCATCCATTATGTACTGCTTAACCTTACTTGTGTAAAAATTTCCAGTTTAATGTTATCTCCTTAACATAACTGTTTCTATGTGAAGCTTTATAGTTCAAGGCTATGAACTTGTGTATAAATTTTCCGTTTTTAAGTATATATTTTTTTTATTAATTATTTTTTAAACAAGCTGGTAAGCGAGTTAATGAGTTGAGTAGAGGCTGGCTTGAGCTTGGCTTGCTAGCTTTTCGAGCTCAGTCAAGCTCGAGCCTGTTATGTGTGTGTGTGTGTGTATTATGGACAAGTGATATATTTGTGGGTGTCTTGCATATCGTTTGTGCGTCTGTGCTGTAAAGATATTATATTATTATACACTGCATTTTATTTAATAATAAAATTTCGATACATAAAATAGAATGATGCAAAAAGATTTAACTTGACTTTTATGCCTTTGTCAAATACATCACTTGTTTAGGGAAAAAAATATTGTATCCAGACATTCTAATCAAACTTTGGTCTATAAAGCATTTCAAAATTCTTTCTTCTATTTTAACATGGTGTAGCTCATAAAAAATAAATATGCATTGGGCATTCACATGCTTTTGACTATGGGCCATACATATTAGAAAAATATTTATACATGGCAAGAGTAAGGATCAATAGACTATGGGCCTTAGAGGCTCATGAAATAGGCCAAGCCAATATGCCAAAGTGATCGAATCAAGCTCACATGTCGAAGTGATTGAATTGATACCTCGTGTCGAAGTGATCTAATTATTCCATGACAAACTTGTCACTGAAGAAAATTATCATTACATAAGAGCACTTCTCTTAATGAAGAACTAATTTTTCCAAAGTTTTTTTTTCGAGGAATTTTGGAAAGTAAGCATAATCTAACCCTATCAATACATCCACCATATTGTTCTATACTTTCCTACTAAAAACATACGTTTTATGAGCTCATGAACAAGAACAAGACCCTACATTATAAAAAAGATTCTACACCAATATATTTACATTTTTGACAACAAAACTCTTCATTTTACATTTAGCCAGCTTAAGTTTTTAATATCGCATAAAAAAAATATAATTTTTATGTTTTTAAAAAATAAAAGGCGCATTTTCATGCATAGAAAAAATAGTAGTATTTTATAATAAATAGGGCTATAAATTTTTTTTTTACTTATTTTACTAAATCGAGCACTCCTACTAGGCTCACCTTCTTGAGTTGCCAGATTGAATCCACTTTTCAAAGTGGCTAAGTCGAACCAAATTGTCCAGCTTGTCTCGACAGAATGGCATAGTCCACTTGTGCGAGAGTCACTATCAAAGACGATCATCATAATTCATAACTAATAAGTTAATATGTCAATCCATTAATAAAAGAGTCACCCTTACACCCTTATTTTCACCCAAATATAAGAGAGATGCGTCCTAAAGACACTGTTCGACACCCACATTACTTGATTTCTATTAAGACACCGAAAAAAGGTGTCGTGCAAATGTATATTATGAAATGTATCTAATTTATTATTTTATTATTTTTCTCCCTTACGTATAAATAGGAGGGAAAAAATAGAGAGGAATCTCTTAATTTGTGGTTCGTCTTACATAAAATCCAATATATTTTCTAATATTCCCTCCAAGACTCATATGAGAATTGAAGTTCAATGGCAAATATGTAAATACATAAAAATTGAATGGCATGTACGTACATGTTTCTGGATATTATCAGTGCATGAATTTTTGTGTTCATCGTTGGGCCCCGCGTCCTCCTTTAGCGTCCACTAATTATTTCAACCTTTTTTTCTTCAATTTTAGTGAGAGCTAAAAATCAGAGGCTGCTGCTGTTCAGAAACCTCGAAGCCGCCTCCACGCCGCCTTTCAGCAGACATAATTAGCTTTTTTTTAAAAAACACTTTTAATAATAATATTCTCACAAAATCTGCTGAAAATGAATTTTTTTCTTTTTTTATTTATTTATTCATATACAAAACTTATTGATTAATATGCATTAAGCTTGATTTTTTCAAACAAGTTAGGGGTCGTTTGGGGCAGCTTATTTGATGCAGTGGCGTTTCGAAAACGCAACTGGTCTGTTTGGTTAAATTACGTTTTGATAATTTATGCGTTTTCAAAACGCTGAAAACAGTATTTTCACATCACACTTATGTAGGCGCGGTTGCAGCTTTCTGATAGTAATTTGACTTTTCAGAAAAAAAATAAAAATTTGTAATAGCTGCCATACCTAGCTTATCAGCAGAATATTTTTAATAAACTTATTAACAGATTATTCAATAAGCTGCGGCTGACCCAAACAGACCCTTAATCTATCATTGATTGATTGTCAAATATTAACGGCAAATTAATCTATTATATTATTTTTTATTACAAATTATATTTTAACAATATGAATAAATTACTTTATTTTTAATCAAAAAATTAAGATTTTAATTATTAAAATAATAAATTTAATTACCAAATTAAAAAAAATTATCTCTGTTTCCTCGTAATACGCCAATAAAAGTGCGTGAGCCTACGCAAGGAAATTTCAGCAGAAGAAATGACCTTCAGCTTATTAAAAAATCCAATCTTTAATTTTCTGTCCGTGAGTAAAATGCAGTGTGTTTAGGATCAATTAATTAGTTCTAAAAACATAATAAAGACACTAATAAAGCCCATTAATACTTAATTAAGCTTAATACAGTATGGATTACTAACTGCAGTTTCAGAGCTTATACTCCTTTCTACTGATCTTAATTATTTTGCTTATCCAGTTTTATTTTATTAAACTAAATATAACATAATCATTACATTGAACAGCTGATCATAACTACTAACTGCAGTTACATGTATAATTAACCCGATTACTCTTTATCCTCCTCCCCTGAATCAAGCATGTCCTCCAAAACCTTATCATCTAAACACTCGAACTCGATCACCTCCTTCTTCGTCTCCGACGAAGACCCGGAGGCGTCGTTCGCATACAAATGCAGTTCATCAGGAAAGTTCAGAACGGCAAACTCGCCGCGCATGGAATACGCGGCTCGGTCGTAAGCACGAGCAGCTTCTTCCGCGGTATTGAACGTTCCGAGCCAGACTCGAGCGCCCTGGCGAGACGAATCGCGGATTTCGGCCGCAAATTTCCCCCACGGACGCCGCCGGACGCCGCGATATCGGGTTTCCTTGCTTTCTCCTTCATCCTTCTTCTCCATTGGGTTGGAGTTGTGGATGGCGGCAACGGCTCCTTGATTTAAATTAGGGGCGGGGGTTGGTGGTGGGGCAGGGGATGGATTCTTCACACGTGCGAAGGAAGGTTGTTATTGGGGGAGGGGAGGGGGGAGTGGGCCGGTTTAAATAGGGACGTGAAAGGGAATTCGGTTCGGTGTATTTGGATGAGTCAAACCGGTGGCTTGGCCCCCAAGGGGAAGGGGAAGGGGAAGGGGAATGTGTGCATTATATGTTGCTGTGCTTTTTTGAATTTTTATTTGTCCGTTATAAAATGGAATTGTAATTTTTTTTTTTAATTTGTTTTGAGGTGTAAATGTAATAATTATTAAATTTTTATTTTTTTCTTCATTAAGGTTTTATAATCATTTTTTTATGAATATTTTAAATAAAGTGTGTTGAATAAGACAACGTGCTTTTTTTGGCTACTTAATAATGGGGGGGGTGAGGTTGCCTCATTGCAGTCGTGGGGAGGTCAATTTTAACGTGTGATGACGTAATTATTTAGTGATATTTATTAGCGTAAAATTTTGAAGGAGGTCGTAATTTCAGTGTGGGTAGGTTCTAGATTTGTGGGGGCAACATTCCAAGGGAGAATATGTCAAAAGGTTGATTATATTTGATCATGAATTTTACCTATGAAAGAATTTTAAATTAGGTTTTAGAAAAATTCCACCATTAAAAATTTGATGTGTGGAATATAAGTTATTGTATGTATCTTCTGAAATATATCTATGATGAGCCATGCTCTTAAATGCTTCCATTCATTATTGATTTATAAGAGAATTGATGCGTGTCAGAAAGTTCGTGGCGGTAGAGCAATAGATTATCGTCTTAGCGCTGTACGAGAATTCTGCACACACTCATATGAAAACTAAAAAAAATAGTGACTACTACAGAAGTTTTTACGTGGAAAGCCCGTAAAGGAAAAAATCACGGTGTCTGGCACAGTTGCGAAAATCCACTATTGATTGATGATTACAGAGATCTCTTATCACGCAGACGAGAATGGGTAACTATATTTTTCAGATTATGATGTCGATTGACAGCATTTAGTTAGTGGTGATCGATGACGGTTGACAGAGGTCGACGATGATTGAGGATGGTCTTCGCCGGTTGGCGATGGTTAATTGTGATCGACGGCGGTCAACGACGGAGGTTGGCAGTGGTCGATTAGAGAGGTCGACGGTGTTCGACGACGATCGTCGGTGATGCTGAACTACAGATTCTTCTCAAGGTCTTAGGCTCTCTCTCCAGACATCAACTCTCACTCATGAGAGGGATGAGGCTATTTATAGTGTTCTGGGTGCAATTAATGCAAAAATATGAATCATCCGGAGAGTTTCCCTTAATCATACGACATTTACTGAATATTTGAGTGTCTTAATGATGTCAGAATTGAGTGTTCTTGGGTTCGTTAGATTGGTCTTGTCGAGCCACTCGATTCGAGTATAAACTTGTCATATTTGACAACCCTTTGATCTTTTAAATGTGCTCGGGAATCATTTAAGTGTGGTTCAATAACTTGATCTGGGCTTGATTTGACTCGGATTGGGCTAGTTTTCATATCATTAGGTATGTCTAATCAAGCCGGTCAGTTTGACTATAAGTTTGCTGAAATCAGAGCTATGGACGACTTTTTATTAAGATTTGAATGTTTCATGTTTAAATATCGTCTCGAGATTTGTATCATGCCACGAGATTCATGTCGGATGAAGAAAATTTGTTTGTAGAGTATCAGTTGCCCCCCTATTTTCCGGGCGAGACCATTTTTATCGTCCGAAAATATCAATATTCGAAATAAGATATATATATATATATATATATATATCTTACTTCGAAGAGATTAAGGATTTTGAAGAGGGCTTCAAATTCCGAAAAGAAGATTAGTATAATTTGACTTTTTTTAATATGAAAAGTTTTTATTTATTATTATTTATGAGCATTTAATGCTTGTACCTTTTTTTAGATTTTCATATTAATGTGCATTTATTGGTCAATGCTCTTTTTGAGCCTATAAATAGGGGTCTGAAGGAGAGGGTAGAAAGTGTGGTGGTACTTCGTGGCGACGAGTTGCGGCGGCGCAACGCGGCGACGCATTGCGGATGTCCAATGTCATGAAATAATGTAGGCGTGGAGTCCTCAGCTGATTCAGAATTTCTCAGAAGAAAATCATTTTGCGCAGTGGTGAAGAGTTGCAGTGCAGAATTGTGGTGTCGAGTTGCGGTGCCGAGTTGCAGAGCAGAGTTGTGGTGCCGAGTTACGGTGCAGAGTTGCGGTGCCAAGCTACGGTGCAGAGTTGCGGTGCCGAGTTGCAGCGCAGAGTTGGGGTGCGGAGTTCCGGCGCAGAGTTGTGCTGTCGAGTTACGGTGCAGATTTGCGGTGCAGAGTTGATACAGTGCATATTTGCGGTGCAGAGTTACGGTGCAAAGTTACGGTGTCGAGCTACGGTGCAGAGTTGCGGTCTCGAGCTACGGTGCATAGTTGCGGTACCGAGCTACAATGTCGAGTTAGGGTGTCGAGTACGATGTAGAGTTGCAGTCCCGAGCTACGGTGCAGAGTTGTTGTATCGAGCTACGGTGCAGAGTTGCAGTGTCGAGCTATGGTGCAACGGTGCAGAGTTAAGGCAAAGAGGAAGTCGTCTCGGTATCGAGCTACGGTGCAAAGTTGCGATGTCGAGCTACGGTGCAGAGTTAAGGCAAAAGGGAAAGTCGTCTCCATCCTGCTTAGTAAACAAGCAACGAGATTTTCTTTCTCGTTGTGGTGTAGTTCGGAGGTGATGAATAAATGTTGTAGTTTTCTAACGGCGCTTTGAAGGGAAGTTTTTCATGCTTATGTGGTGGCAATATCTGTAGATCCTCTGACGATCATCAGAAGTACTGGAATTTTGGGAGGGGATGCCAACTCTGCTCGAAGATGAGTTGATCTGTTGTAGCCCTTATGTTGGTATTTGTAGTCTTTTTAATCATCTGATGTAACATTTATAGATGATGATAATGTATTTCTTTGTACGTTTTTGACGTTGCTTCTGAGGCTTTTGTGGTTCAAGCCTTCTGAGGTTGTGCCCCCTTGGACTTATGCCTTATAGGAGTTTGAACCAATATCTTTTGTGGCTTGTAGCCTTCTGAGGTCTTCGAGTAGAGATCTTGCCAACCACTTGCTCTTATGGAGTATTTCTAGTGAGAACTCTGTCCACTGCTAGCATTCTATCGAGATTTGCCTCTTGAGCTTGTCTTCTAAGGGCATGGTTGAAAGGAGAATCCAGTAAGGATGTAAGACCAGTTCTGAGTTGTATAACCGGAGATGCTCGACGGTACTAACCCGTAATGATCAGAGTCATATGAAATCCACCGAGGATGGTTGACTTATCCTAGGTTGTTAGTCGAAGCTTTTGTTTAACGACCGTAACCTGTTATGGAAAAGATCGAAGAAAATCCACCAAGGATTTTTGGCCTATCTGAGGTTGTATGTCGAAGTTTTTGCTCGTGCAAGTGTGCGCGGCTCAATCTTGTTACAAGCTTAGTATGATGAGCTTGTCAGGTGGGTCTTGATGATGAATGAAGAGCTTTGATAAATGCGTGAAAAACAGAAGATGATCGTAAATAGTATAGCAAGCCTGGCGGGGAGTTTTGATCGCAGGAGCAAGCGATATATGAGTGTTGTCGAGGAGGACGAGGAGGAAGGTTAGGAGGAGAATGTGGAGGGACATGAGGAGGCTGAGGAGAAAGATTATGATTTTTATTATATGCTTGTGGGTGTGGTTTTACCCGCCATAAGGGTTGATTACATGTTTTTTTTTTCATTTACGTTTAACTAAACTTTCAATTTCTGTAGCTGTGAGATGTAAATTTTGAACAATTTCATCTCTTTATCTTTCATTTAATTTGCTATCATTATTTATATGTTGTAGTGGTGATTTCATTTATGAGTTATGATGATAAATAAATGTCATATTATATTGTTTGTGTTTGTTCTGTATAGTTATATGGAAAGAAGTACATTCTACTGTTTTTTTTTTGTTTATGGCAAGTTTGCATGTGACTATTCTCATGCTAATAGCTACAATAATTTCCTCGATATTTTACGACGTTATATCGACGGTATCCGCAAATCAGCGTCAGAATAATAGCATCAGACATGTTGACACAAATTAGTGTTGACGCTAATTTGCATCACATGGGTTTGATGCTATTGCGTCCTTAACACAATGTTGACTGACACTAATTTGCATCTGATGGGTTTGCTGGTATTGCTTCCTTAACACAATGCTGATTGTTTTTTCAACAAAAACTTTGTAGCGACTGAATATGGAGACGCTAATTCCTACGTAAATAAAAATTCGATGCTAATTCTGATGCAAAATGAATTAGCGAAGCCCAATTCAACGTCACTATTAATTTGATGCTAATCTGACACTTAATTAGAATAGTGGCGGAAAAAAGCCCGATTAGTCTCGGAAATTTTCAAGTTAAATAATCACTTCTATATATATGGGCTAAAATAAATAAATATATGATAATTATATATTTACAGCATCTAAATAGTACTCCATTATCTTCATTTTGAATGATATCATTCCATTCTCAAGAACATGGTAACATTTAAGCTTATAGATTAAATATAAATAATTTGCTAGTTCAAATTCTTAAGATAAAGCTTAAGTTGTATGGTAAGAGGCCAGATATGATGAGACCTCATTAATGGAATCAATAGAAAAATGAGAATTTATTGGCATAGTAATAAATAGATTAAGATAATTACTATTTCTATAAATCTAAGGTTTTATTGTAGTTGAAATATTAGCTCAAAAATAATTAAGTTCTGCATGAGCCATAATTTTAATTAGATGTGAGATTTGAGTTGATTTTGAGCTAGGCTCGAAGCACCTATGATATAGTAAAAAGGAAATGATATTTGAGTATGTTGGGTCCCGAATATCACATCTTCTTTACGTTCGGGCACCTATGATAGGGTGTCTGCGTCATGTGCTAATATTCAAAGCATTGAGTATGTTGGGTCCCGAATATCACATCTTCTTTACGTTCGGGCACCTATGATAGGGTGTCTGCGTCATGTGCTAATATTCAAAGCATTGAGTATGTTGGGTCCCGAATATCACATCTTCTTTACGTTCGGGCACCTATGATAGGGTGTCTGCGTCATGTGCTAATATTCAAAGCCCTCGTGTCACGGTGAGATTGAACCCTTGATCTGAGGAGACTTACAGTAACTCCGCCACCAACATGTCAAGACACGCACACTCTATATATATATA